ATTGCCACCAGCTCCTGAGTGTCCTGTTCACTACTGAGGAGCGAAACAGGATCCTGGAGGCAGCCCGGAAATTGGTTCCGGGGCCCCACTGGGGACCCTACCACAGTCCCAGGCATCATTAATGCCAGCTTTCCCCCTAGCCGTCCCGACTGGGACTACAACACGGCAGAAGGTAAGGAGAGGCTCCTGGTCTACCGCCAGACTCTGTTAGTGGGTCTCAAAATGGTGACTTGAAAACCCGCCAATATGTCTAAGGTCTATGATGTCAGACAGGGGCCCGAAGAGAGCCAGCCCAGCCTCATAGAGAGGTTACAAGATGCCTTCCGGCAGTTCACTCCGTATGACCCAGAAGCGGAGGAATCAGCTCAAACTATGATGTTTGCTTTCGTTAACCAGGCAGCCCCTGACATCAAGAGAAAGTTACAGTCTTTATATAGACTAGGAGAAAAGAACCTTAGGGACTTAATAACAGTGGTGGAAAAGGGTTATAATAGAAGGGAGACAGCAGAACAAAGAGAGGAAAGAAAAGAAAAAAGACAGGAAGCAAGCCTGACCAGGGTCCTGGAGAGACAACAGGCCCTCCACAAGAAGGACCTCAGAGAGATATTATTGGCAACCAACCCCCAGTACAGAGGGAGCTCATCGGCGGGTTCCAGACCACAAAATAAGGTAGGGGAAAACCAGTGTGCATACTGCAAGGAGGAAGGGCACTGGGTGAAGGACTGCCTCAAGAAGAACAAGCAATCAGCTAAGGTATTACCAACTCTAATTGGGGGTGAAGACAGTGACTAGGGGAGACGGGGCTCAGGTCCCCTCCCTGAGCCCAGGATAACCCTGAAAATAGAGGGGTACACAATTGAGTTTATGGTGGATACTGGTGCCCAGAATTCGGTTTTATTGGAGCCAAGAGGGCCAGTGTCCTCCAGAACTACATGGGTACAGGGGGCAACAGGAACAAAGCCCTATTCTACCTGAAGAACAGTAGATTTAGGGAAGGGCCAGGTATCCCACTCATTTCTAGTAATCCCAGAATGTCCCTACCCACTTCCGGGCAGAGATTTATTGTCAAAAATGAGGGCACTGATCCACTTCACAGCTAAAGGAGCCACCCTGCTTCACAACGGGGCACCGGTTCAGGTTCTAGTCACCAACAACCTGATTGAGGAATATAGACTCCATCAGGAGCTGATCCAAACCCCCTGATATATCAGATTGGCTCTAAAAATTTCCCCAAGCCTGGGCAGAAACAGGGGGTATGGGTCTGACAGGACACAGGCCTCCTGTATATGTTGAACTCAAACCAGGGGTGGACCCTGTTACAGTGAGCCAGTATCCTATGCCCCTAGAGGCAAAACATGGAATTACTCCACATATCAGAAGATTAATGGAACTGGGGTTGCTGAGAAAGACCCAGTCTGCCTGTAATACCCCACTCCTGCCTGTCAAAAAGCCCCAATCTGGGAACTATAGACCGGTACAAGATTTGAGGGAGGTGAACAAGAAAGTCACTGACATTCATCCCACTGTCCCCAACCCTTATACGTTACTCAGTACCCTGCCACCAGATCGGCAATGGTATACAGTTCTGGACCTCAAGGATGCCTTCTTCAGCCTGCCACTAGCTTCCAGCAGTCAGCCCTACTTTGCCTTCGAAAGGCATGATCCGGAGGCAGGAATCAGTGGCCAGCTGACCTGGACGTGACTGCCTCAAGGGTTTAAAAATTCTCCAACTATATTCAATGAGGCCCTGCATGAAGATCTGGGTGAGTACAGAGCCCAACACCCCGATATAAGCCTGTTACAATATGTAGATGACTTATCGGGTAAAAGGCATGCTGGGGGGGCGGTCACAACCACCTCGAGAGTCATTTGGGCTGAGCCACTGCCAATAGGTACATCGGCCCAAAAAGCTGAACTGATCGCGTTTACCAAAGCCCTAAAGATGGGTAAAGGAAAGAGACTCAACGTCTACACAGATAGCAGATATGCATTTGCCACTGCCCATATTCATGGGGCCATCTATCAAGAGAGGGTCCTCCTTACTGCAGAGGGAAAGACTATTAAAAATAAACAAGAGATCTTAGACCTCCTGCAAGCCCTTTGGGGCCCAACAAAACTAGCCATAATCCACTGCCTGGGTCACCAAAAAGGAAACAACCCCACCCAAAAGGGAAATAATCTGGCTGATAGGACAGCTAAGGAAATAGCCTTGACCTCCACGATCCTGCCCATTCTTATTGATCCCAGAGCAAGGGAACTGCCTAAAACTCCCCACTATAGCCCCGAGGACTTAGCCTGGATACACACTCTCCCTATGACTCAATGCCTAGAGGGCTGGTGGAGGACAATGGATGGAAAAGTTATTCTACCTCAGAATTTAGGCATAAGATTGCTCAAGAAAATACATCAAGCATCACACATGGGCACCCGAAGGATGCAAGACTTACTAAGAAGGGCCAAAGTTAAAATTCAGAAAGGAAATCAAGCCATTGAAAAAATTGTTAAGCATTGTCATGCATGCCAGTTAACCAAC